GCAGGTGCACCCCACAGCGAGCGCCCCCGCCCCGCCCGCAGCCTCCTGAGCTTTCTCTTTCTATCTGCCCTGCACCTCATCTTCAGGTTGTTCCTAAATATTAGGGGGAGAGGGTCACCCGGGAGAGCATCTTCTCAAATTTCAGGTGCATCGCTGGGCACGAGAGTGCGGCTCCCCGCTCCCCAGAGACCCCCCACGTGGCAGCGAGGGCCAGGAGCACCCAGGTGACCCGCCGTCCGCAGACCCCTGTGCCCACGGGCCCCCGCCGGCCCTTTTCCATTTCTACCAGAGGAACGATGGGGGGAGGGCCACCGGCATGGAGAGTGGGGACTGGGGGGCCCCTGGGGGCTCGTCCCCCCGAGCCATAGATGCCCGGAGGCCGCCCTGCCTCCCCGCGCTGCCCTTCCGCCTGGCCGGGGCCACACGTGGGCCGGCAGCCAGGCCACTGCCGCCGCCTCCCTCCCTGCCCCTCCGTCTGGCCGCCACACGTGGCCTGGACAACGGCTGGGCCAGCAGGGCTGTCCCGCTGTCCTCTGCTCCCGGGCCTGGCCCGTCCCTGGCGTCCACAGCTTGCCTCGCAGGCTTGGTCATGTCCCGTCTCCACACTTCATTCCGTCTAAAACAGACGGGAGGCCGAGGCCCGAGGGGCCCATCACCTGGCCCCAAGTCGCGCGTGAGCAGAGCCACGGCAGGCTCTCCCCAGCCTGCGGGCAGCAGGGGTGAGGACGGAGCCCGCGGCCCCTGCCCCGCCCTCCCCCCGCCCCAGGAAGGGGTCAAGCTGCTCCTTTACGGACAGTTAAGAGTGGTGGGGCGCATGGCAGGGGCGGCTGTGGGGAGCCGGGGGGCTCTGCCCGTCCGGAGCCCTCGAGTCAGGGTCTGCAGGCTGGGGGCGCTGTGGAGCACCGCCCTTCGGTCGTGTCAGGAGGGTGTCAGCCAGGCTGAGGGGCACGGGGATCCCGTGATGCTGACCGCTGGTTTGCCGCGACCACCGCAGCCCCCGCCCGGGGCAGGTCACCCCCGCGCCCTCGGGGCGGCCGCTGCCTGGTGCCTTGCCGGCAGCCACAGAGGCGACAGGGCCTGGACAGGGCCTGGCGTGAACAATTAAATGCTCTGCCCGGGGTGGCCACGGGGTCACTTCTGGTTCCAAGCCGCTGGTCAGACGATGCGCCGCGGCCCATCTGGCTAAAGCGGGACGGGACTTGCGGTCCCACGAGCCAGGAGGATGGAAAGCAGAAATCCAGGGGACAGCTGTGATGGCTCCTGGTCCATCCCCCAGTGGCCGAGTGAGGGCTGGGCGCTGCCTGGCTACTTCAGCCTGGGATTCCTCCCCTGGGACCCGAGTACTTGCTGGAGGAGGAGGGTGTGGACAGGTGCCCCGGGGGTGCAAATGACCCCGTGATTGGGCTGCTGCCGCCAGAACAGCCCGGCACAGCCCGATGGGGGTCACGACCACTTGGTGGAAGCCCGTGCAGGCCCACCTTGTCCACAGGCTGGTCCCGAACGTGGCCCCGCCGGAGGGGGGGCGGACTGCACGCCACAGGGGCCAGGGGCCTGCGGCGAGGCGCAAGCCAGGAGTGCCGGCAGCCGCCGAGGCTGCAGGGACCAGGTGGGCGCCTTGGCCGGGGCTGCTGGCTTTCAGAGCCCAGCGGAGCAGCTCGCCACTCGAAGCCGCCACGGTTACGGGCACCCGTGCGGCAGCCCCGGGAACCCGGCGCTTCTGTCCCACAGACTCTCCCCGCCACCGCGGGCGGCTTGGGGCAGCACGAGGCCCGTGGAGCCAGGGCTGCCTGCCACGGCCCCTCCAACGTGGACTCGCTGGCTTCGTCTGGGGCTGGCCACGTCATGCTGAGCCCACAAGACCCAGCCCAGTGGAAAGTTCCGGTGTGGAGGTGTGAGAGGCGGCTTCTGGCTCTGCAGGAGACCGGTGGCGGTGGGCGAGGTGCCGACCGTCACGGTCTGCAGTGCTTGTTTGTGTCCGGGTGGTTCTCCTAGGCTGGCACGCCCCGGGCAGCTCTGGCTGAGCCTCCTCCTTCCTCTACCCGATCGCCATCTGGCCACGCTGTCCAGCCCAGTCGCTGGAAGTGCAAACCCCACTGTCCAGGCAGGACACCTGTCGCGGGGCCTGGACCCTACTCGTTTGCCTAACCCGGAGCCTGGTGCCCGTGCTGTCCCCTGGAATAGTCCAGAAGCCCCTGCAGCTGGCTGCTGCCCTTGCGATGGGGGTATCCGGGTGTCGGGGCAGCCACTCTCCGGCTGGGCCCTGGGACCCGTGTCTGACCACCCCGGGCGGCAGCGGCAGCAGCTGGGTGCGCTTCCGAGCTGTGCGGGGCCCAGCGCCCACCAGGCAGGTGAGGCTGCGGGCGGCTGGCCCCGGCCTGGCAGATTGGCCTCCTGGACAAAACAGGCCAGTCTGCGTCCTTCTGTCGTCTGGAAACGGTGGGCCTCTCCCGGCCCCGCGTTCCGGTTCCAGCCCGGGGGGCGCTCTGCGGGCCGGATGTAGGCTGGCCTCGGGGCGTGGCGTGGCCCCCTCGGCTGGGGACAGGAGGTGGGCAGAAATCAGTGAGCGTTCTGCACTCCAGGAAAACCAACAGGAGAACAACAGGTCATTTATGGTAGAGACAAAAATGTCCTGTTTGAAACAAAGCTTAGGATGTTCATCAACAACAATTACAAAATAAAATCCAAGTGGGTACATGAGTGAAGAGCTAGCTGTGCCACGGTGCCCAGCCACGCCAGGGACTTGAGGTGCGATTAGCGTCCTCCAAGCACAGTTACGTGGAAAAACAAGCCGGGCTTCAGAGGCTGAATCCACCCAAAGAGAGAACCTCACTCAGGTTTTCACGGTGATCACATGCAGAAAGGGCATTTTGGCTACGCTGGGTTACGGAAATGGACCGTTAAGACGAATCCCACCTGTTTCTCTTAGTGTTATTACTGCAATTTTAGAAAGTCGTGTCCGTGGCTTACGCCTCGTTCCTGGTGACGCCAGTGGCGGGTGCTTCTGGGGCTGACTGAGCGTCGCCGGGGTGCGGCCGCCCTTCAGGGGTGCGGCCCCTGCGCTATTCAGTGGCCGCTCAGCAGAGGCAGGGAGGGAGCGGGCTTAGAAAAGTGGTAAGGAAGAGACTTTAAGCGGCAGCTTGCCGACGGTGAGCCCTGGTGACCAAGAGTCTTGGGAGCGCGCAGCAGCCGGGGAAAGCGCAGCACTGTGACGCTGGCACAGCCCGAGCTCCATCCCCGCCCCGAGGGCACCCACCGGGCGCAGCGACCCGCCTGACCCGGCCGCTCCCCTCAGCAGTGTGCTTTGCCGATCTGCCTGTTCTGCTCCCCGCTCTGTCTCCTGTGCCCAGTTCTGTATGCGGAACTAAATAACTCTTTAAAGAAAAAAGAAGTTTTGAAGACAGAGCTTACCTCGATGGCCTTAAGAGTAATAGTTAAAGGAAAACTCAAAACACTGGACACCAACGGGAAGCTGGGGTGTCAGGCGCTGGGGAGACGCTGAGGAAGCGGGGCTCTCACGCCTAGGGTGAGAACGCGAAGCTCGGGCACCCTGGAAACCAGCAAGAGCGGCCTCTTGCAAGCTGGCAGCCCGAATCCTGGGGCAGACGCACAAGAGCATCTTGACAACGCCCACAAAGGGCCCCGTACGGGCACGCTCTCCGCTCCGTTGTTGGGGGGCGCGGGTGCCCTCGCCAGGCTCTGTGCCCGCGCAGGGGCCCGCAGGGGAGGGCGGCCGCGGCGCGAAGGGCGACTCTAGGGGCGTCGTGACGTCCGTTCAAGCCGCATGCCCCGCCGTGGCCACAGCTTCCCCACCTGGACGGGGGTGCGCGTTCCCCAGGGGGTGCAGGGGTGCGGGAGGGGCCGCGGGAGCCGGAGAGCAGCAGCAGGTGGGTCGTCTCTGCTCTGGGCCCCTGCACCCTAAATACAAGCATAAAGCGAAGCCAAAGTCACTCGATGCTGGGGGCTTGGTGTGAGCAGGAGAGGAACCGGCTGCCAGGGAGAGGGAGACGAGCAGCTTCCTCAGAGCCGGGAAAGGCCGTTCCACGAGCGTGCTGGGTGCGCAGCCCCCCGTGGCGCTTCGGAGAGGCCCGCGGCGGGGTGCGCCTCGGCCCCCTCGGCACGGCCTGGCTTTCCTCCCGGGAACAAAGCCGCTTTTCGTGTGATTGATTTTCTTTGGCTGCCGCGTGGTGATTTTGTATTTGTTTAGACAAACACGCGAACAGGCAGGTTAGATGAGCTCAGGTCAGGTGCGAAGCGCCCTGCAAGCAGGCGGCCCACCCACGTCTCCGCGCCGAGGTCTGCCCCTGACACTGCCCGAACAGCCAGCTCCTCCGTCTTGGTGCTTCCTACGAGCTCGTCAAGCATATTATGCTCTGGAGCTGCGAACGCAATGAAAGCCATCATCTCAGGTAGCTGGGTGAGCTCCCTCTGTCTGGGAGCTGGGCCCGCGGACCCGCAGTTCACTCCAGAAGGACAGTCACGGGGGCTCCCTGCGGCCCAGGAGTCCAGTCTCACTCAGGCTATCACCGGACAGTGCGAGTCCAGCCCCGGCCAGGGAGCGACCCCAGGGCGCAGCAGACCCCTCGTGTCTCTCCGCTGTCCCCTCAGCTGCGGGTTTCAGTGGATCTTCCGCCCGCCCCCCGCTCCGTCTCTGGGGCGTCCTCTCATCCCCGCACTCTGGCCTACGTCCTAGTAGTTCTACACAAAAATAAAAATTATTTTTTTAAAACAAAAATATAAAAGAAGGCGAATACAGGGCCCTGTGGAAGCCTGACCAAAGATAACTGAGGGAAGTGGGGGAGGCCACGGCCAGCTTGGCCACGTTACCATGCGAGCATAAAGCCCACTGCGCGCCTGGTCGCTCGGTGATGGGCCCCACCCCGGTGCTGCCATCCGCCTCTGGCAGTGCCATCTCGCTTCACGACGCGCTCATGTGGTTCGTGGGGTCACGGAGCGCTTTCATCTGTTGACGTGACTCACCGTGCCTTTACCGAAACGGTCGCGTGGCTGCCGTGGCCGCCGCGGGTCGGGTCCGAGCTGGGAGTGCTGGGACGCTGCCCCCCAGGGCCCGCCCCACCCCTCTCCCTTGAGTGATAATTATGATAAACTTGATATTTCCAGCAGGAGCACCTCAAACACAGTCCCCCCGCCACAGCCCTAGTTATGTGTGAAGTCATTTTTTTAGCTCAAAAAAATTTATTTTTCACTTCTTCAAATATCAAGATAAACACGATAAATAAAGTATTTCTCTGTCGGTGCGTCCGTCTGTCTCTCTCTCCTCACGCACAGTCACCAGAGGTGAACCCTACTTGAGTGCTTGGGGAACGCCCTCCCCGGTCTTCTGGGGAAAGTGCTCTGCACCCCCAGAACCCCATCTTTCTCAAACAGGGCTTTCCTGTGGCTCCCAGCCCGCCAGGCTGAGTGCGGCTCTGTGCCCCCGTGGAGAGAATGCAGCACTGAGAGCCGCTCTCGGGGCGCTGCCCCCTGGGCAGGCCGGGAGGCACCTTGGCCGAGCACAGCCAGCGAACACAGCGGGCTCTGTGCAGTCCTGAGGTCGCCTGACGGGAGCCCGGCCGCTCCTCCTGCGCCTGGGAGAAAGGGCTTCTCTGTGCGCGCTTGTTTGCTTTGGTTTTGAGCTAAAAAAAAA